CTTCCTTTCTGTAAAAAATCAATAAAATATATTTTAAAAAATAATAAATAAATAAATAAATAAATAAATAAATAAATAAAATGGTAAAAATATTTATTTGGTGATGTGGGAAATGTAAGAAGAATCTGGAAGATCTGGCTCCAATTTGGGTCTAGGTTTTTGGAATTTGGTCAGGACTGACTACATAATTTTCAGGCCCATGTGCAAAGTAAAAATGGAAGGCCCTTTATTCAAAACACAACAAAATGGTTCCATCTAAGATACAAAGATATAAAACTTTCTTGTCTGCTGGTTTGTATTTGCCACTTAATGTAATGCTCCTTGGACATGGAGAGATACAGGGCAAGTGTAGACCCTCACAGCTATCAGGTCCACTGCCTTTTGACTTGATGTGTGTATGAGGAAGCTCTTTACCCTAGCTGGGGAGGGGGGACAGTTAATCTTCCTGTGATAAGGGCTTATTGCCCTATTCCATGGTAGATTGATAACTTTCAAGAGATTCCATTCTGTGAGCTGGTTCACCCTCAAGACCTGGTTCAGGGATGGCTAAAGGGCTCTCCCCTCGTGAGTCGCCTGCCAAACATGCTGGGTTGCTGCTAGCCCAGCCCATTCTCTATATTTCTATGCCCAGAATTCCTCTACAGTCAGAGGGGATCAGTGAAATGTGAGCCTTCTTCCTTCAAAGTGACCTGATGGCTATTCCAGATAAATAACAGCAGTGGCTAATAGAGGGCTATAAGGTCAAGAGAACCCTGGGGGCAAAAGTAATCATCCAAGAACTCATCCTATAGAGCAGTGTTTCCCAAACTTCTCTCATTGTAAACAAAACAGCCTAGTACTAGCACAAGAATAGGCATATAGACCAATGGATCAGAACAGAAATCCCAGAAATTGACCCACACCATTATAGTCAATTAATATTTGACAAAGAAGGCAAGAACACGCAGTGGAGTCAAGACAACCTCTTTAACAAATGGTGCTGGGAAAACTGGGCAGACACATGCCAAAAAATGAAACTAGACCACCAACTTACAGTATACAGAAGAAAAAACTCAAAATGGATAAAATACTTAAATGTAAGGCATGAAACCATAAAAATCTTAGAGGAGAATATAGGCAGTAAAATCTCAGCCATCTCATGTAGCAATATGTTTATGGATACATCTCTATGGGCAAAAGAAACTAAAGAGAACATAAACAAATGTGACTACAAAAAATAAAAAGGTCTTCACAGCAAAAGAAACACCATCAAATTTAAAAGGGAATACACTTAATGGGACAACATGTTTGCCAATAATACATCTGATAAAGGGTTAATATCCAAAATATATAAAGTACTCATACCACTCAATAAAAAGAAGAGAAACAATTCAGTTAAAAAATGAGCAGAAGACCGAATAGATTCTAAAAAGTACATGCAAATGGCCAAGAGACATGAAAAAATGCTTAAAGTCACTAATCATCAGAGAAATGCAAATTAAAACCACAATGCAATATCTCCTCACACCTGTCAAAATGGTTATCATAAAAAAATCAACAAACATGTTCTGGCAAGGATGTGGAGAAAGGGAATATTATTTCACTGCTGGTGGGAATGCAAATTGGTGCAGCCACTGTGAAAAAATACCCTGTTTCCCAAAAATAAGACAGTGTCTTATATTATTTTTTTCTCCCAAAGTTGCGCTAGGTCTTATTTTCAGGGAATGTCTTATCTTTCCATGCGCTAGGTCTTATTTTTGGAGGATGTCTTATTTTCGGGGAAACACAGTAGTATGGAATTTTTCTCAAAAATAAAAATGGAACTTCCATTTGAGACTGTGACTCCACTTCTGGAAATATATCCTAAATAACTCAAAAACTCCAATGAGAAAGAACATATGCACCCCTATATCTCATATTTGGAAATAGCCCATGTGCCCATTGTAGATGAGGGGATAAAAAAGCTTGGGACATTTGAGGAGAAACCAAGATGGTGGCCTAGGTAAGCACCTAAGCTGCTGCCTTGCACAACAATTTCAAAACAACAACTAAAAGACAGAACGGACATCATCCAAAACTACAGAAAAGCTGGTGGAGTGGGAAATCTACAACTAGAGAGAAGGAGAGAAGCTCACAGATCAGGAGAGCCGCAAAGTGCTTAGGTAGGGAGACGCTTGTGTGCAGAGAGGAAGGGTGGCAGAGTGCCTGGCTGGCAGGAGGGGAAAGGAAGCCCCCGCTGCACTGAACCCCAGTTCTGACTGCACTAAACCCCAACCCTGGTCGAAACCACGTGGACCCAGGCTCATACGGGTGGAATCTGGACCGTAGAGAAAAGTACCTGGAGATTCAGAGACTTGGAGACTTGGGGGAGCAGGGAGCCACAGCGTGTGAGTGAGTGTGCCCAGAGAGGTCTGACCTCGGATTGCTGCAGCTGCTTCATAGCAGAAGGAGTCAGAAGCTCCAGACTACAGAGACCCAACCCCATTCTGGGCGAGCCCCTGGGGCACCCATGCTCTTACAAGGGGATTCTGGACTGTCAGGTGGAAAGTCTCCCAGGGGAGCCACGGAAGGCAGAGGTCTGAGGCTTGCACACAAGAGTAGGGCTGACAGGAAGCCAAGACTGTCAGCTCAGCCCTGAGACTCCACCCCATCCAAGCTGAGCACAGAGGCTTTTGCAATTTTGCAAGTATGATCCTATAAGACTGTCTCCAATACATAAGGTATCCCAGAGTAGACACAGTTGATACTCACATCCAATGGGTCTGGAAGTCAATTCCTCCCAGTGATACCAATAACAATCAAGACTTAACTACAACAAGGTGATATACGCAGTCCACAAAGGGGAGCATCAAGAGTGTCTACCTCAGGTAACTGGGGAGGCTGACCTATTGGGACATAAAGGACACCAAACACACAAAGCCATCCTACCAACTCTGGGAAGCAACAAAAATGCTGAGACAAGGAAATAGATCTCAAACGAAAGAGATGGAGGAGAACAAAAGACTGGATATAGAGTTCAAAACCACAGTTATAAGGTTTTTCAAGAATTTCCTAGAAAAGGCCAATGAATTTAATGAGATCCAACTAGAAATTAAATAAACACTGATGAAAATAAAAAAAATATTATACAGAGATCCAACAGCAGACTGGAGGAACACAAGAATCAAGTCAAAGATTTCGAATACAAAGAGCCAACAGACACTCCTCTGGAGAACAAGAAGAAAAGATAATCCAGAAAGTTGAAGATAGTGTAAGGAGCCTCTGGGACAACTTCAAGCGTACCAACATCAGAATTATGTGGGTGCCAGAAGAAGAGAGAGTGCAAGATACTGAAAACATATTTGAAGAAATAATATCAGAAAACTTCCCCTACCTGATGAAAGAAATAAACTTATAAGTCCAGGAAGTGCACAGAACCCCAAACAAAAGGAATTCAAAGAGGACCACACAAAGACAGATAATAATTAAAATGCCAAGGGCAAAAGACAAAGAGAGAATCTTACAAGCAGCAAGAGAAAAACAGTTAGTTATCCATAAGGGAGCACCCATATGATTATCAGCTGGTTTCTCAACAGAAACTATGCAGGCCAGAAGGGAATGGCAAGAAATATTCAAAGTGATGAATAGCAAGAACCTACAACCAAGATTACTCTACCCAGCAAAGTTATCATTCAGAATTGAAGGGCAGATAAAGAACTTCACAGATAAGAAAAAGCTAAAGGAGTTCATCATCACCAAACCAGTATTATATGAAATACTGAAAGGTATTCTTTAAGAAGAGGAAGAAGAAGAAAAAAGATAAAAATTATGATCAACAAATACATATTTATCAAGAAGTGAATCTAAAAATCAAATGAATTAAAAATCTGAGAAACAAAACAAACTGGTGAATATAATAGAATCAGGGGCAAAGAAAGGAAGTGGATTGATAATTATCAGAGCGAAAAGGATGTGGGGGGTGCAGGAAGAGACTGGATTAAAATTGTACACCTATGGATGAGGACGATGGTGGGGGGGGCGGGGGGGGAGGGGAACTAGGTGGAAGGGAGCTATGGGGGGAAAAAGGAGAAACAATTGTAATAATCTGAGCAATAAAGATTTTTTTTTTTAAAAAAAAAAGAATTGATGGCTGTGCTATAATTTGTCTACTTGAATTGCCATGATAGTAATGTACAGCGAATTCATGAAATATTTTAATATTATATAAATATATGTCTGATTGTTGAAACTGTACCAGTTTTCAAGGCCTGGAGATATTGTGTAAGAAACATTAAATTTCAAAATCAGTCTGAAGAAATAAAACAAGAGAAAAGGTCGCCTGAGAATAAAATAAAATAAAAATTAAGCATATGGAATATCATTACATTGTTTCTCATATTCAAGGTTAAAGTTAAGATTATTTAAAAATTCAGTAAATTATATTCTTCAAGAACACTTTATAAAAATTGAATAATTTGCTTTTATTTTTAATAAAGGTAAGACATTGTTACATTCATCTAATTTGTTAGACGTAATATAAACGTAGTTTACTAGAAAAGGACACATAATTTTAATTGTGTTTTTCTTCTACATCTTTATTATTATCATTATTGAAAGTTTTCTCTTCAAATATGAGAGTTTTTCACTTAAAAAGACACTTAAAGAAAGTCATTTTTAAAGAGTGACATGATGCACAGATCAATTGGATAAGAATAGTATACCTTTAATACTAACAAAGGTGTAAGTTTTAAATGTTGTATGTTAATTTGAAGTGATTTTTCAGATTTTTTTCAACATTATATTTCATTGGAAATGATCTCAGAAACTTTTTGCTATTCATTTGAGTTAAAGTTTACTTTAGAAAGTTGTCTAATATTATTATGATTTAGGGTTTAAATGTTGGTTTTGTAAGATTTTTTTTTTTTTTTGGCATACTTAGAGCTATGTCCTGGAATTGGTGCCCAAACAATGTTAAGCTGGTTTATGTCACTGAGTAAAATTAGATACATGCCTGCTACTAATAGGAGGAGATGAAACATGAGACAGGCCAAACACTTGAGAGCCTTTTCTTCCAGGCATAATTGGTGAAGCCTGAATTGTTCACTCTCCTTCTGCAATTGGAATGTTTGAAACATTCTGTCTCTGGTAGAGCTTGAACTGGTTACAAGCAATCTAAGGTAAGCAATAATTTTTTACTTGTATTTTATATAATTACAATGTACAATTAAAAACCAAATAGAAGCGAGGCTTCTTGGTTTTTTTTCTCAATAGGTGACATAATAATTAATAAATTAAATTTAAAATCTTGATTAAATTCATTTCAAATGATTATTAAGCATCAATAAAATGTGGTTAACTTCTATTTAATCTCATTTCAGTTACTCTGTTTACTAATATACTATGCATTTTAGTATAATTTATATTCCTAATATTTAAATTTATAGAATACCATGATAGCTTATTTATATATTATCAAGCATTAAATTGTATACTCTAGTTAATCTAGATAAAATATTGTCTTTAGATCACCTATTCCTAATTCTACTCTTAAATTTTTTGATAAAATTACATTGGCTTTACATTTTGTCTATAGTTTTGTTATAGACGTTAAAAACAGACTAATATTAATGAAGACAAAAGTCATTTGATAAATTGGAAATAAGCAAAACATCAACTTCAACTTCCTAACTATTCTTGGAATGAAAAAAAGATGATGATTTCTTCCCCAAATATGGAAAGGAATAAATTGTTGTTCATAATATATATCTCATAAAAGAAAATGTAAGTAGAGTAAAAGATAAACTTGTGCCATGCTGTGACTTACTAAAATTGTCAGTTCTTTCTTTGTGTTCCCTAAGTTAATATGGGGCAATCAAAAAACAAGTTTTTAAAGGAAGACATACAGAAAGATAATAAGGGGAAATATAACTCATCTGGCTGAAAGATTTGTCAGCAGGAAAATAACTTACTACCTCACAATGAACTACAAAATGCACCATATTTATCTTTTGCTTATTTTCTTGGGAACATTTTATGGAGATGGGTACAAAGAGGCACACTTATGAAGTTTCAAAACTAATGGCTCAAGTTGGTGTTGGTTTTATAGGTTCTAGAATTTAAAGTTTTCTTTGCAACTCAAATGAAAAAGTTTCCAAAAGATGTTGACTAAGCTTGCAGTTGAAATGTTGAAATAATATTGCTTTATATTGTCCTTTAAAAAATATACTTTTAGCTGAAACAGGTTTGGCTCAGTGGATAGAGTGTCGGCCTGTGGACTGAAAGGTCCTGGGTTCAATTCCGGTCAAGGGCATGTACATTGGTTGTGGGCACATCCCCAGTAGGGTGTACAAGAGGCAGCTGGTCGATGTTTCTCTCTCATTGACGTTTCTATCCCTCTCAATTCCTCTTTATGTAAAATCAATAAAATATATTAATATATATATATATATATATATATATATATATATATATATATATATACTTTTATTTATTAAATTAAATTTATATTGTGTAATATATGAAAATCAAATAATAATGTGAAATTATGACTTGATTTAATCTTGAATACTTTGTAAGACCTGTGGTTCTCCTCTGTTCCCTGTTCTACTTGGCTTATTGCAATTCCTTGCTGCTTTTCAACTAAGTCCACCATTGCTGTGGCTTCCTAGTAAGATGGAAAAAACTACAATCTTGAGTATGATTTTTTTCTACTTTTCCATTTCTTCAGAGCCTGCCTCTGTCCTGAGAACCTGCTTCTACTAGTATTCTTTCTCCTTTTTTTTTTTTTTTTTTTTTTTTTTTTTTTTTGCCTGGTCAGCACTTGTCTAGCTTTATCACTCTCTGGAACAACCACAGAGACTGATAATTCTATAATGTTTTCATGAGTATTGAAGAATTACCCCCATATATTTACCATTTCAGACTCAAACTTCATTTTTAATTTTACATGTTATGCTATAGATAATTTTATGGGAAAATTGATACAGGAGTATTTAGTAAATTTAATAATTTGAACATATATAAAAATTTCTCTCAAAATCCCTCAAACTCTCAGCATAACTTCAGTATAACTGTTGTGCAGTGTATCACTGACAGGAAATGAAACCAGGGATTTCAAGAACATCTCTTTTATGCCCAAATGAATTTGTGCACCAGCCTAAGGCAGTGGGGATCCATTTGAATATTTACAACAGAAAATAGCATGAATTTATTTTTGGACAGTCATTCAGGTTGCCATGGAGAGAGGATTAGAGGCATCAGAGAAGGGAGACAGGGTGAGGTATAAAAAGTAAAAAAAATTGCCTCAGCTGAGTACTGGGAAATGAAACACAAGAGAGAACTAGGAGAAAGTCATAGTTATGAAGATGGACACCTTAAAACCTAACCTCACCTTTGTGACTTTTAACTCTATTGTAAGCCTTCTCAATTAGTTTTACTTGTGAAACATCTGAAAAGCATGAAGAGGAAGTGATTACAACTTTAGGCTGTGGAGTCAGACTGCCACTTTCTAGATATATGACTTTGTGTGAATTAATTGTTCTCTGTCTCAGTTTCCTCATTTGTAAAAAGGAGGATAATGAGTACCTACCTCCTAAGGTTACTGTGAGTATCAAATTCAGTTCATATAAACATTTAGAAAATGTCTCTCTTCTTGGTAAACAGCAGCTCCCCTTCCTCCTCTTCTTTTTCCTCTTCATCATAACCACCACTATCAACACCACCATCATCATCAATAGCAATGCAATATATAACCTTTTATTCCCATCCTCATTAATAGGGAGGTCAGAAAAGAACCTCAGAATGGTGACTGGTTAGGATTTGTAACCTGCTTCTCCAGACTCCCTAAGAAAGCACATGGGCCCTATCTAGGCAGAAAATTGTAGGCTGAGACTATTTCTGCTCCAGCAGAGAACATTCTCCACATACATGATGGCTGCTGAGGAGGAAAATGTGCATTCCAGAATACAAATAGAAAACCTTCCCTGACATTCTCATCAACTGACTGAAAGAAAAGTCTTAATGGTATTTATGAAGAAAAAAAAAAATCAAATGACTGCTAAAGTTTCAAAACCTGTTAGATCTTAATGAAAATTTTATGTAAAATATACTAAGGTGTTAATCTCAGTGGAACATAAAAGTGTGCTGTCCCCTATTGGAATGATTTGAATGGGTTTTCCTCACACATTTGCAAATCACTTTAAATCATCACATTCTGATCCTGACTACAAGGGTAGAAGTGAAACATGGTGCTGAAGTCCTCTGAAACTTTAAAAAAAAAAACCTGTCAAAACAATCAGAAAATTGCACATATACTGCATTTGATAAGAAAATTAATTATATATACTTTAAGAATTTCTTTTTGTTTTAAATCATTGCAAATAAAAAAGAAGCATATTGGTTGATAAATGTATATGTTTTTTCTTAAAATTTGCTTTTAGCCGAAACCGGTTTGGCTCAATGGATAGAGCATCCGCCTGTGGACTGAAAGGTCCTGGGTTCAATTCCGGTCAAGGGCATGTACCTTGGTTGCGGGCATATCCCCAGTAGGGGGTGTGCAAGAGGCAGCTGATCGATGACTTTCTCTCATTGATGTTTCTAACTCTCTATCTCTCTCCCTTCCTCTCTGTACAAAATCAATAAAATATATATTTTAAAAAATTTGCTTTTAATTTTGTGTAAGTATTTTTAATAGTTAGGATTTAGTTTAATATTATTTTTAAAGACTGTGAAAAAAAGACTGGGGTTCTGTGGGCTTCCTATACTTGTTAAGTCTATTTCTTTCACCAGGTGGGGGAAGTTTTCTGTTTATAATTCTGATGTTGGTACACTCAATTGAGGTTTTGAGGGAAGGAAAGGGGGGTTATAGTTGGTTTGACTGAAAACTTCAGCTTTAGTTATAAAACTCCAAAGACTTAATAAACTAGATTACAGGCCTTTTGTGACTTGCACCAACATGGAAACAAACCACCCTTGTTTTTTTTTTTCCCTCTCCTGTAGGTTGGTCATAAGGGACACCCCTCTATGGCCAGAGAATAAGATAGGGGAGAGGTGTCAGAGAATTAGTGGTGAGTGACATGGAACTATGAATCATCTCAATATGCATATATATTTTTTAATTTAATAAATCTTTATTGCTCAGATTATTACAATTGTTCCTTTTTTTTTCTCTCCATAGTTCCCCTCTACCAGGTTCCTACCCCACCCTCTGCCCTTACCCCCCTCCCACTGTCCTCATCCATAGGTGTACAATTTTTGTTCAGTCTCTTCCCGCACCCCCATTTCCCTTTCCCCCGAGAATCGTCAGTCCACTCCCTTTCTATACCTTTGATTCTATTATATTCACCAGTTAATACTGTTCATCATATTTTTTATTCCCTTGGTTTTTAGATTCACTTCTTGATAGTTACCCTATTTTCCGGCGTATAAGACGACCCCCTAATTTTACAGTTAAAACATAGGTTTAGGCCTATATTCGCTGTATAAAACTACCCCCCACTTCCGAGGCAACACCAGTTCTTTTTTTAATAGACCGCCTCTCTGACTCTGGCCAATCTGAGCAGGCTTTTTTTTTTGTTTCAAAAGTCATCTTATACGCCGGAAAATATGGTACGTATTTGTTGTTCATAATTTTTATCTTTATCTTCTTCTTCCTCTTCTTAAAGAATACCTTTCAGCATTTCATATAATTCTGGTTTGGCGGTGATGAACTCCTTTAGCTTTTTTTTTTTATTTTTGAAGCTCTTTATCTGGCTTTCATTTCTGAATGATAGCTTTTGCTGGATAATCTTGGTTGTAGTTTCTTGCTATTCATCACTTTGAATATTTCTTGCCATTCCCATCTGGCCTGCATAGTTTCTGTTGAGAAATCAGCTGACAATTGTATGGGTGCTCCCTTATCGGTAACTAACTGCTTTTCTCTTGCTGCTTTTAATATTTTCTCCTTGTCTTTTACTCTTGGCATTTTAATTATGATGTGTCTTGGTCTGGTCCTCTTTGGATTCCTTTTGTTTGGGGTTCTGTGGGCTTCCTATACTTGTTAAGTCTATTTCTTTCACCAGGTGGGGGAAGTTTTCTGTTTATAATTCTGATGTTGGTACACTTGAAGTTGTCCCAGAGGCTTCTTACACTATCTTCACCTTTTTGTATTCTCCTTTCTTCTTGCTTCTCCAGAGGTGTG